GAGGTTCAGTGGTGCTGAGGTGTTGCCATCCCTCTTGTGGAGCATGCATGGTGGAGGGGCCAAGAAGAATTCAGTCAAACATCTGGAAAAAACTGTCAAGCTGTCGATGGAGAATCTGAAGCTTCGGACAGGACAATGACTCCAAGCACATCTCACAGTTCCTCAAGGCTTGATTTCAGACGAAGTCCTGGAAGACAGTAAAGGTCAACAGACCTGGACTCCATTGGAAAATTAAGGTTGGATTTGGAAAAGCAATATCCAGCTATAAAAAGGAACTGGAGGCTTTTGTCCATGAGGTGTGGGTGGAGATTTTTCATGACAGCAGAGATGAGCTCTACTAAATACCAAAGATGCTGAAATGAACAGGTTCAAAGTGGAACTGTGTGATTTGTTTGGAGAATCCACTTGCATTATTAGCTATATTACAGCACTAACATTGCTCTTTGGTGTGTTTATTACAAACAGCAGCTAGTTTGTATGCATATGCAATGGGGTTTGAAACATTTTAAATCTGCAGGGACATTTATTTTGGTTTGACACAGTTGTGGTAAATATGTCTGGAACACCAGCAACATCAACCAAAAGGGAACGTATTGGTTGTTAAGCTGTTCTGCATGAAGCAAAAAATAAAAAAATAAAAAATAAAAAAAATTGAAAAAAAAAAGCTTTGAGCTTCAATTTGTCAATAATACTCCATTACATAAAATTCAAACACCCACTGTATTTGTGACGTACCTCACCAAGTTTTGGTAAAGTGGATACAGTTCAACTCACCTATAAATAACAAGATAAGCAAAAGAGGAAAATGCAGACATGTGTGAAAAGATAAACATTTTTTCATGAACATGGAGGAGCATAAAGTGGATTTTCAAGGCAAATCATATAAAGTGTCATAATGTCAACGTTGGCTGTAAACATGTTCTGCTCATATAGATGATGAATGCGCGTGTCAATGTATTCGAGCATAAAGAAAAACCGGGCAAACTTTTGACTGGCAGCAGTTCCTGTGTGGTCGAACAGCTCCATGACTCCAACCTAATCCATTTAACTCTTTGGTAAACATTGACTTGTTGCAGCCTCGCTGAACTGGTGCTTTTGTTGGCCTCCAGATGAAGTGACGCATTTATCGCCCTAATCTTAGCCACTTTCACGTCCTCATTGGCTCCTCGCACCCGCTTTTCCCATGTTTCCCATCGAGCAACGCGCCGCAGGAAAAAAACAAGCAAACATGCGGCGCTGCCAAAGAGAGGCAGAAAATAACACGTTCGAGGCCACAAATACAAAAAAAGGAGACATCAAAGAAGTTCTCTAATTTAGAATGAAAAGCTTCGATTTCTATCTTGAAGTCGAAGGAAGCCAAACACGCGACTTTGGGTTGAAAGAAACCCTCCCCGTAAGCAATAATAACGTCTAGCAGCATGACGATGATAGCATTCAGCTTCCATTCGCGAGTAAAAAGGATTATTTAAAAAAAGAAATCAAATTCCCAGCAGGTCAGACCTCTATTTATTTCTTATCTAATTGGCGCAGATTAGGAGCTTTCATGGTGGAGAGGCAAACACATTTACTGCGCGGTGTAAGTGAGCGGGAAACACTTTCCGTAGAAAAATCACCTGCTGTTTCTTTGCTAAAAACGACTTTGCTCTGAGAAGGTTTAAAAGTGTAATCCTAAAGTAGTTTATTGATAAAAAAAAAGTATTTAACCTGCTACTTAACCCAAATAACATATTTTATCAGTAAAGTATCTAAAGGAGAGAAAAAAACCTTAAAAAATACATTTAAAGTAAATTGCATCACCCCCCCCCAACTTTGAACAGAGGAAGCAGCAGATTCAAGATGAGCGTTTGAGCAAACAGAAAAGTAAACACAGAGAAGAGGCTTATCCGGAACAGATTAGCCACTTCTCACGTTTACCACTCACTACAAGCAGAGAGATAGGGATTACATCCATCATGATGGGATTACAGCTATTGGAATAAAAAAGGTAACACTTACAGGCCGAATTAATGTCACTTTGGAAAAAGCAGATGATGTTGATGGGAGAGAAACAATCTTTGCTAAAAGTCAAACTTTTGTTTGTACCAAAATTGCTAAGAGAGAAGGTAATCTTGAATCAGAATGCATTAGAAACAGAGAAGCGTTTTATTTGTTTTCAGTAGCAAATCCTTTAAATCCACTAACATGTCCCCTAGAACAGAGCTGGCAAAAGATCAGTGTTCACATAACATCTATGGAGATTTCATACATAAAATAACACTGTGTCTGAACAACACTAATTTCACCTTTGATCAAAAAAGTTTTTTTTTAATCTGCATGATCCCAATGAGTTTTGAGAAAATATTCTGCAGACTGGTAAGACACAATTGGACATTTTTGGAAGGTCAAGTTTTGTTTTTATGTAAAACTAACAGTATTTTATGAAAGGAGCGTCTTACTGACAGCCAAAAGTATTGATAATAGGAGCTGCTTTGCTTGGTCATCATCAGGACAACTTCTTTTTTTTTTTTTTTTTTTAATAAATAAAATCATTGTCATGTTTGTCTTCATGCAGGTTATTTTGGTGTGAAGTTAAAATTAATTTGAAGATCTAAAACAACACAAGTGTGACAAAAAGGTGAAAACAGGAATCCAGATGTGTCCTTTACATTTGATGTACTTGATGTTTTCCATGTTGGCTTCATTTCAGTAAAAATGATTGCTTCCCCTGTAAGCGATATCTCATTATGGCCCACAATAAAACTTCCAGATTCATTCAAAGCAAAAAAAAAAAAAAAAAAATCATGACTAAATAACTCTTCTAGCATCCTGTTTCCTGCTTGTTTTATTTCTCTCCCTGGTTTAACCAAAACATGCATGATGCCGGCCCTCCAGGACCGACTTTGGGCACCGCTGACATACAGTAACGCCAAGTTGCTGTTTTGTTTTTGCCCACATTTTTCTACCTGCTCAGTTTAGAGAGCAGCAGGACTCTCGATGGTGTGACCTCTGACCACATGGACTTTTAATGTCGGATGTCTGGAGGCTTATTTGACACCTGTCAACATTCATCACCGCAGCCGGCCGTTACCGGTTACACTAACATTTTCTTAAACAAGCCGGATTTATTAACAAAATGAAAGTACATTCACTTTAAGTTAGTGCAATTTAGTGTTAGACGTGTTGTATGTCACCTCAGGCGAGTTGTATTCATACAGGCATCATTATTAAAGCATCGTGCTACAAATAATTCAGATATGAAAATACACAGCAAACAGATACGGGTTTTGGCTCGTACATCTTGACTGACACATTCCTACTATCCTGTTAGGTTTCACGTTTTTTTTATATTTAAAAATATCAGACCAGCTATTAGTATAACGAGGCAGGATAATTAGAAATGTCTGCAGCAGACATGCTACATGGTCTGAGTGGAAGACGATGCTGGTGTCCCCAATCTGTGTTTTTGTCAACAAGCGGGACTCTCTGCTGTGTTTTAGGGGGATTTTGTGACACTTAGAACAGCATCTATTATGTCTCCGCCAGTCACTTTTCATGCAGAGGGGCATTTCCGTTTTTTAATGGCTTGTTAGAAAGCAAGCAGCTATTTGTTTTCACCGTGAGAGTCGCTCGCACTAACAAGCAACTGTTTAGCTTTTGTCACCAAAATGTGACAATTTCTTGGTGAAAGAAACAAGCTGGAAGATATTAAATATTGATTTCTTGTGTTGCCAATTTTAAAAAAACTGTAAACGATTACATGAGACTAAAAAGAGGATCGAGTTGCATCTTTTTACTGATTCTACGACACTGGCAGTGAGAAGATTCATTGAGAGACACGTTTTAATCATTTAAAACCTTACGAAACTTTGCATTCATTATCTCTACTAAGGTCTCATAAGACAACTCAAAAGAAAGATAATGAACACCGCTATAATTTAGCATAATTGTAATACCAAATAGCTGCCATTTAAAGAATTACATTTTGTTCTATTTTTCTGGTTCTGGTGTTTTACTTGTTTGCTGAGGAGAAATCTGGCTTGTCAGAGCCTGTGTGGAGCAGTTCATCTACCTTCGATCAGCTAAATGTCTCCCTAATGAAGCTCAATAATGATAACTGGGTTTCCATAATAAAAAGCTTTCTCTGCGTATTGATTTGTTACAAGATCCAAACCCTGCTGCAGAGTCGCACTGATCCAAATCAGCTCTGACCGCTGAGCGCCTCGTCCATTCCTGAACATTTGGTTGTTTTGTTTTTTCTTTGCTTTTCTGCTGATTAAAAGAAACTGAATCCTCTTATGCTTTTTGGTCTGCAAACAATGAGCTTTGTAATTTGATACACAAATAAAATATAGCAAAGGGATATTTGTTTTGATATTGTAATATGATAAATGTGGTAGTCAATTCTTTGTTGGATTTATAACTATACCCAGGAGTCTTGGCATAGTTATAATTTAATTTTGTGGCTGATGTTTGTGGCATACCCCCCAAAAAAAACAAAGTTTACACACATGAGTTTGTATTTTTTTTTCCTTGAAAATCTGAATTGATCAAAATTGTACAGCTAAAAGTGGGCTTTAAAGAAAACCATAAATGGCATCAACCAGTGAAAGCCTGTCGTCTAATACAACAAACTACTCTTCCACCCACCATTTATTTATTTATTTATTTTACAAAAAAATTTACAAATTTATACATTTAAGTGGAAAATAGTTAGAATATAGAAACCTTTTGAATAACTAGGAGAGGGAGCAACTCTACCAGTTTGGTAGAGTCGCAGGCAGGTGGTTTTTGAAGCCCCAAAAGGGAAAAAATAAATCAAAACTGTAAAAATTGTGAAAGACAAAAATGCCGATGCATCCTTTTGTCTTTATTTTGTCTGTTTCCTTGACCTTCAGCAGACACCAAGCTGTGTCCCAGAGTCTTCCAGAAAATTAAGCATATCTTGTGATTTGTACACCTGTCACTCACCGTTGGTCCATCACTGATCCAAATTGACTTTGTTTCATACCTGTGTGTTCCAGCAACATGATTGGCTGTGAGGGCCTGAACAGCTGAGCTGCATCAATGGCGTGGGCCGAACCTCAGCACCATCCAGATCCACAGCCGCTACCAAAACAGACACAGCGCACACTTCTGTTTCACTCGTTTTTACTCCTGTTCTTGATCGATTCCTTTGCTAATGCTGGTCCAGCAGAGCCCGCCCGTCTCCCACTCCTGTCCGGACAGCCTTTCATTATCTTCTGGGGGATCCCAGACTCTTCCTGTGCCGGTCGCCTAAACCCTACGACCTTTGGCATGGAACGGGAGGGTCGAGTAGCCGTCTTTTACGAGGATTCGCTGGGTAACTACCCATATTTTCTGGACAAAAACACACCAATCAACGGAGGGATTCCACAGTACACAAGACTGGATGGCCATGTGCAGAAGACGAAGCAAGACTTGGAGGCGGCTTTGCCCGCGCCCCGGTACCTCGGCCTGGGGGTCCTCCGTTGGGCCGAATGGGTCCCCCAGTGGTCAAGAAACCAAGAGAAACAAGCAATGTACCTGGAGGCTTCCAGGAAACTGCTCCGGAGTTTCTTCCCGAAATGGACCTCGGAGGAAGTGGAGAAGTGGTCACGGGTAAGGAAAGGAGGTCAGGACAGGACAAATTGAGATGAGGGAGTACAACAGAGACAGAAACAGAGTGTAACATTATTTAAATATGATGTAAGCTGCTGTTACAGAAGGATGGAGGAGTTACTGTCATACTACCTGTCATAGCTCAGGAATACCTGACATTTAGTTCTAACATGTCTGTTTAAGCACATCATCATGGCCACGATTTAGCCATTTCAGGTGGATTACAGGAATTTATTGGACATTTCTGACAGATATCCTCATCTTGCCACAGGTGGACTTTGAGGCAGCAGCTCAGTCAGTCATGGTGGAGACTCTGCGGGAGGTTAAAAGGTTGAGGCCCAAAGCATTGTGGGGATTCTCCCCTTACCCGAGCTGCTATAACAGTGACCCCGCCCAGACGCAGTCAGCCAATTACAGCAGCCAGTGCCCCCCTACAGAGATGGCCCTCAACGATGAGCTTCTGTGGCTGTGGAAAAGAAGCTCTGCGCTCTTCCCCCTCCTGACCCTGGAGAAGCGACAGGTATCGTTTCACAACAGATAACTAACACAATCCATTGATGTGGACTTGGGGACTGTGTGGTGGGCTGAGCCAAACATGGATGTAATTGAATATATTTAGTATGTTGTTCAAATCTGTATTTTTCTACAGGGTGGGACAGCGGCAGCCAGGTCCTTCTTGTCAAGTCAAATAAAAGAAGCGCTGCGAGTTGCATCGGCGGCTGGAGCAGAGTTTGATCTGCCTGTTTTTCCTCTGGTAAAGAGCGTGTATGATTCAAGCAAAACTTTCCTATCACAGGTGAGATATTAGAAACAAACCAACTAGTCAGCTTAAAGTGCTAATCCATAAATTAAGTGGCTAAAATGTAATTTGGGAAAACCTATTCTTTATTTTTCTTTTTTTTTTTTAAGGCTGACCTCATCAACACTATAGGAGAATCTGCTGCCATGGGAACAGCAGGAGTTGTCATCTGGAATAGAAGTGAGATGAAAACAGAGGTACTCTAAGAAACACCCACATGAAATCACCGTGTAAAGTGTTATACAAGTGTGTCACTGTGGATATATTCCATACGTAACTGGGATTTTATCACAGAGTTCGTCTCCACCATGGCTGACATTTTGTAGCCACGGTTGTATGTTTAGGGCCGTGTTGCTGGAAGGCAAACCTCTGTCCCATTCTTAAGTCGTTTGCAACCTCTAACCGACCTGCATTTACCTCCATCCATCTTTTCATCAACTTGCCAGATTTCTTGTGTCCCGTGAGGAAAAACAGCTCCACAGACTGCTGCCGTCACCAACATGTTTCCATAGTGTTCTTAGATTGATGTGCAGTGTTAGTTTCTTTGAAGAGAAACATTGCAACACAAAATGTTTTTTTTCTTTCTCCCATATGACCAGAATATATTTTTTCTACATGTTTGCTGTGTTCCGGCTTGTGGCGAACAGTGATCTATAATAGTTCTTATCACCCTGTATAAGAACTATTACAGGGTGATACTGGAATAAAACATGGTGGTGGCAGCATCATGCTGCGGCGAAGAGCCGATTTTTACTTACAATAGTTTTAAGAACGACTGTCTGCTAATCTATTACATAAAATGGATTGAAATTTGAAGTTTCAAATTTGTAAAACCACCCGGAGGTGAAACACTTTTGTAAGACGCAGTGAGAGGTCATTATTTTTCAAGATTCAAGCTCAATTAGAACCTTTCTACTGTTTCGTTTCTTTATCTAGTACATCATTTTGCATATCTACCTGAGTGCATTGGTCTTTATAAATCAAACCTGCTCAGCTTTTTGCCTCCGTCCTACATGCTTCCTCTGCTCATGTCTAATTCTGTCCATCTGTCCCCAGAGAGAGTGCCAAGACCTGGCAGTGTTTGTCCGTAAAGTCCTGGGCCCTTACACCGTCAACGTTACCGCAGCAACTCAGTCCTGTTCCTCCTCCCTCTGTCAGGGGAAAGGTCGCTGTGTTCGTCAAAATCCAGACAGCTCCGCCTACCTCCACCTACCGACCCAACCCAGTGCTGCAGACAAGACAACCGAAAAGGTAGGAAAGTGGGATTTAAAAGCAAAATGTTGCTACTGTTTGTTCTCTGATTGTAAATTTATATATATATATATATATATATATATATATATATATATATATATATATATATAAATATATATATATATATATATATATATATATATATATATATATATATATATATATATATATATATATATATATATATATATATATATATATATATATATATGCATATCTTTAGTCTTTTTTTTTGCCACAAATAAAAAAGTGTGCACTAAAAGAATGCTGTGTTATTGCATTTTAGAAAATCACTTTTATGTTTACAAAAAGGAATGTAATTATTTATGTCTAATATTGGATAAAAAGGCTTAAGTGGTTAAATAATAGAATAGTCAATAGAATTGCCGATTACTAAAATACTCGCTAGTTGCTTGCAGACCTAATTCTTTTGCCTTGCTTTGACATATAAAATTGTTTTTTTTTTCTTAAAGTATCTTTTTGTGATAATTTCAAACCATAAAAATATCTACAGACACAACTAAGCACGCCGAAATGTCAATGACTTTTTATTTCTCTACTCTAGATAGAGCAGACGCTGTAAAATGTAAAATAATGGATTTAATCTTCGAAGACAAAAGGATTACTTTTATCGTTCTCTTTCAGGCAGAGGGAGCAGAAGCCACCCAACAGCCAGATGCAGAGACTAAATCGGCTGAACCAGATCCAGCTGAGATCTGGAAGAAAGACTTCCAGTGCCAGTGGTACAAGAGTGCAGATGGGGAAATCTCTGAGCGGCTGCCCCCCAAGGACGGCGTGTCTGTTGGAGGAAAAGCTGAAGGAAGCGCTGGGAACACAGCGGAGACCAGGACGTCTTCCACGACAAAAAGTGCCTCTGACGATCTGTTTAGAGGAAGTGATTTTCCTGCTACTGGAAGTCAAACAGTTTCCCTAGAGATACAGACAGACAATGGTACGAACCTACTGGCTGCCCCAACCCTACAAACTTTGCTTCTGCTGCTGGGGGCTGGATGCTTATGCCTGTGACCTTAAAATAAAAAACTAACCCAGTCTTCTGCAAAGAAGGTCAAGATGTAAACTGCAAGTACAAATCTCAATCAAGTGCCTTTTATAATCGTCTCTGACAGCTGTAGGATTGCTGCTTTTAGCTAAATTACTCACTTTCTTTTAACAAAGGAATTCAAACTATATTTAGAGCCGATATCACTGAATGTGCCAAGACACTGAGGGAAGGGAAAGAGCAGGAAACGGCTAGTATAAAGGTTCAAGTACGATGGCAAAGTGGCAAACTTTGTTTTATGGTGAGGAAAGCTAATGTCTGTTAATATAGCGCTAAATCCCAAATATTGCTAATTTAATCTCAGCTTTCCAGACTCTGAAGACGTTTTTCTGCTGATTCCAGGTGGTATGATGTGAATTTCAGGCAAAGTGACTATTACTCCAAATAAATAATTCACTGAATTCATCCTATCTTTGGATATCTTTCACTTCAAAAAAAAAAACTCTTCAAAAAGCTTCCACTTTTAGCTGGTCTTCAATTGATTGTATTCACACCGCTTTCTTTTATGAGCTCGTGGTGTTTTATGGCTGATCCATACTTTTGTAATTTATGTTGTTAGCATTATTTATATCTTGTCGGTGCAGAACAGTGATGTATTAAATCTGCTTTAAAAACTGAATAAAAATTCAAGAAAAAAGTGAGCTCAAACAAGAACGAGGCAGCGTTAATAGATACTACAAAAGATATTTAGCTCTATTATATATATCTAAAGGATTAATAAATCCAGTCATGTTCCAGATATTGTTTCACATGGGAGCTCCTCTCTAATGTCAGATATCACACAGTGAACAGACCCATCATGGAAAACAACTTTCGAATTGCATTTCCTCCAAAGCTGGAAGTAAATTCACTGAGCAAAGATTAAAGTCAAGGGATGTTCTTGTTCTCACAGCTGCCAATGACTAGTTTAAACACAAAAGTCACAGAACATGAATTTCCAACCTTCTCTGGGCTACAATTTTTGACAAAGTTGTACAAAAAAAATCTAAATTTACAGACATTAAAGCTTGTATGAAAAAAAATTGCTGAATTTCTGAGATCTTTGGCCTCCCCTGTCTGAGTTTTGGTGAAACTACACCAGGACCTCATTACAATTTTAAAAAAAAAAGAAGATTTATTAACCTTTTTAGTATGAGGCATAACCCATGATTAGATGTGCAAAAGGAAACAAAACAGTTATATACACAGATTCAACTGTATAACAGAAGGGAAATGATTGTATCATTTCTTTTGTATCTTTTATTTTTTTATATTTGTATTAGCTGATTTAGAAAACCCTGTGTTGTTTTTGCTGCTTAATGTTGGCACTTTTTAACATTTTTGTAGCAAATGTAAGCACCAATAAGGAGCACAGAAGAGCTGAATTTTTAACTACCTCCTCGTTTATGTATATTCAATACATAAATGTTTTTGGACATTTAACTATGAAGCCATGCAGGCTGCATAATGAAGATGTGCATCTTGTTTGCTCCCCAAACAATTTTATACATTACATAAAAATGGTTTTAGGATAAAAAGGCAACAAAATCAAGCTGATGTTGGCTTAATCGTCATTTTTAATTTTCAGAGTTAATTCACAGGCTGATCTGAGATTCTCAGAGTGTAAATGAAACCATTCTTTGCTACATGCTTCATATGGTTGGTAAAATCTCACATCACTCCAGGATTTTCTCCTGCATGTTGTTAAAAGGAATCTAGGAAGGGAACTTTTTTAAAACCAAGAATTTTTATAAAACTTCTGCACGCCCTGATGACAAAATGACCCATGTCTATTCTTTGCAAGGACACAAATGGATTTATGACCCACACAAAAAACTTGTTGAAGGTCACACCTGCAGTCTGTTCTTCGCTCATGCATTTGTCTATCAATCACTCCGCACATATGGTGCATTTGATGGAAACTGGAAAATTGAAATATGCAGCTTATTCTCTTATTCTCTCAGCTGGGCTGAGAGAATAAGAACAGGAGAGTTCAGAGTCAGATCAGGGAATCAGCTTTAACTTCTGAAGCTCACAGACGATTTACCAAACACACGGGGAGCAAATAAATATCCTGTCTCTCCGTCCAAACAAACAGGACTGGAAGTAACTTTTCTATTACAAAGTCGGGTGGTGTTTTCTGACAGACTGAATAGGCTTGATTTCATCTTCTAAAATTAAATCTACCAATGATAAATCCTTAGGTATTAAGAGAAAGCATCACTTGAGCACAAACAGATGATGAACGAACCTCTAAATCGAAGAGACACAAACAGCAAAAGAGAAAACATTTCTGTCGTTTTGAGTTTGTTTTCCAGGTTTTATTTACAAATATTAAATAGTAAATGAATGTAGATGTTAAGGACAACATCTACATTCAGTAAAAAAACTGTGAAATCACTTGATTTTACTGTTTTGAGAATGTAACACATTTCTTTATTTATTAGTTTAACTTCTGAGTCTGATAGAAAACTAACATGGTGGACAATAAAACCACCATGGTTTTTATAAATGCAGATAAATGCATTTGCATTTATTCTTTTTGTTTATCTGATTATCAAGATCTGGTATTGATAATGCTTAAATAAGTGTTTTTTATTCAGTTTTATTTTGATTAGTTGTTTGCTGAGATAATTAGTTACACTTTAACCAGGATAAAAGTCACATTTTCACACAAAAATCAATTTACAAAAACATAATATTGCTTTAAACTGACCAGATGAAATTTTAAGGAGTTTAAACTTATTTATTTCAACTTATTTTGTGCTTTTTCTTTTGGAAACAAAGCAGCAGAGTGACTGGAGTCTGAAATCAACTCTTCTCAATATTAGTTTCCACTGCGGCTGCAGATCCACTTAGAGCCGACTGATCCACACAAATAAACCAAATCATATTTCAGATGCAACACCCAGGATTTTTCAGGGGTCAAAATGATTTTGAACCACGCAGAGTATTGCAATTACATCTTTGAAGTGCTTTATAACCAGAGTTTAGCAGGAAGTTCCTGAAACTTTGAAGCTGTTTCTGCTTTTTCACCTGACACACTTGAAGTGAGCGCAGCGTCATTAGGCAGCGCTCTTTTTAGGAGTGAAGGCTCACATATACAGAAAAACTTTTATTTAACTTTTATTTATTTTTTTGCAGGAAGAGTGCGTTTCAGGCCATTACCACAGAAACCACTTGTCTTTATTGACAACATAAATACATGTCCTCTGAGATGGACGCATTCTCACCCTTCTACCTTTGCCGCATGTTTTTGTGGACAATATTGGCAGCTGGCATGTTTAAAATGAACACAAATTTTCTCAGTGAGGAACACCAACCTAATAGGACTTTAAAATTTTTAAATATATATTTCTAATGAGCATTTTTTTTAATCAAAATTTCAGACATTTTGCTTACTGAAACTAAAGCAGGGAAACATATCAATTGAAGCAGCTTTATTGGGAATTGGTCAATACTGGAATACAATTTATGAGAACAGAGAATAGGAGAGGATGGCAAAGATAAAAGATGGCACAAGCCAAACGAAACGATGAATCAAAACTTTTGCATACACTGTATAAAACGACGTCCCCCTCACTGTCAGAAATGATCTGTTTAAGGTTTGTTAATGTTGCCAAAATTATTTTATTTCCTAAATTCCAGAATGACAAAAGTGTTTACCACTTTCTTCAAAATCATGTTTACATACACCAAGATTACTGTGACTTAAGGATTCAAGAAAGCTCAAATGGCAATGATGTCATGGCTTTGTAAGTTTCTGATAGGTTAATTCACAAACATGCCGTCTCCTTGTTTCAACTACCAGGAAGTGAAGTCTGGTCCATCTTTGGGAGTCACATTCATCTGTTCAAACTACTATATGCAAGAATAGACATCATAGGAACATCCAGGTAGCACAATGTTCAGGAACAAAATGCGTTTTGTGTCTCAAAGTTGAAAATGTTTTGATAAACCACTGAACAAAATCTTAACATCTGGTGAATGTCCAGGTAAGAGTACCAACATCGGCTGAAAAACCGCACACAGAGGAAGAACATAAAAAGCCACATTAGTTGCCATTTCACTCAGGGTCAAAGTGCTTAACCTTCGGAGACATGTTGTGTGATTAAAATCAAGGTTCAACTCAAGACTCGTAAAAAATCAAAATTGTGGCAGAGCTGAAAACCAGTTCTGAGCAGCTTATGGAAGGACATCAAAAAAGTTTGACCCAAGTCATAAATCTAATAGGCAATGATATCAAAAACAAACAAAAAATGGATGTAAATTTGAAAAAAGTTCAACAAAAGCCCAACCTGGTAAAGATCAGACCGTTTGCTTCCTGTAGAGGTTCTGGATCCTCGACTACTGAGAAAATTAACAACAGAGCTCCCTGTCATTATTCTGGCATTTAGTGAGTAGAAATTATTTTTCTAATTCTTACAGATCTAAAACTGACATTTTTATACAGTGTATGTAAAAAAAAAAAGTAACTACATATCATCGTATATCATTTGAAACTGAAGCATTTCATGTAATGACTGTGAATTTAGTTCAAAAGGTTTAAGTGATGAATTACGAACATGAATCAAGTCAGAACTGAACCCAGGACTGGTCTTTTTTAAGAATGAACTTCAAAAACATTATTTAAAACCCTGTGTGACAGGCTGTTTGGGAAGAAAAAAAGAGAAGAACTGGAGCTGCAGTGAAACTGATATTCCCATGAGAAGCTCTGAGGCAACAAAAATATTATTATTGACTTCAAAATTCAATCAAGTTGGAGCATAAAAAAGGATATCTAGCCTGTCGGCCGATGACATCTAGACGTCAAATCAAGTAAAATATCTGGTACTTTTTATTTGGACAACATTCAAAAACAGTTTTAGAATCACTTAAGATTACTTTCCCCGGTTATGTTGCTCACTTCGTCTCTCAGAGGAGGCAGGGGAGGAGACGGAGATTCGTGGCAGATTCTGGGTTGCTATTAATGAAGCAGACCTGTGACTTAACGGTTGACTCCTCCTTTTTAGGTGATGGGAGAGAATCAGAGTGGAAAAAGTGAAGGACTCGCAGTACAGATTGGAGCTCATTAAACAGCAGACCGTGAACTGCCTCTCCGCAACACAGACGCAATGTTTTGGGTTTTTTGTGTTCTTTTTTTCTGAACAAGCACGCATGCTGAGCAGACTGAATAAATAAAAACATACAGACACACACAGTGAAGGAACCTGCTTGTTGCATAAGATTAAAAAATAGACTTTCTCTTCCAGTGCAAATGTCACCGTCTTCCAAGCAGTTTATCCTTGCCTCTCCGGAGACAGAAATGTTGCCCCCATCTGCAGAGGGGAGGTTAGTGCAATCTGAACCACGCAGGCTGGACGGATAAAAGTATCACACTCCTCTGACTGTTAAAGACGAACAAAGAATGCATGTAGCCCACCTGCTGCCAGGTTTGAGTTTGTGTGTGGGCGCGACCTACTAAGGGCAAAAGAGTTAATTTGGTGAGATTTTCTTCTTGAAATTTTGAAGAGAAGAAAAAAAAAACAGCTCCTCCTCAAAAGTCAATGTGTTTCTTTTTGGATCCCACAACACAAAAACAGGTCATCTTCTAACGGCACACAGAAGAGCTATGAGTGGAAATCATTCGGCATGCCGGGCAGCGGCGGGTTCCAGACTCCTGAGGTGAACTTGATCTTCGCTGCAGTGTGTGTGTGCAACCTGCAAAAGGGCTGCATTTGCTTGACGGCATCCTTTTTTTTTCTTTTTTGTTTTCTTGTGGATGAGCTTTAGGTCGGATTTTTTTGCAGGCCGGAGCTGTGTTCAGATCTGGTAGGAAGGGGGATTACTTGCAGATCGCTTCTAGAGCATCCAGGGTGCGTTTGATGTCACGGATCTGAGCCGCCAGTGTGTGGATGGGCTGCATGGAGCGATCCAGCTCCTCGCAGCGAGCCATCAGAGTGTACATGCCCTGGAGGAAAAAACAAAAACATAAAGAAGTGAACAACGCTGTGTCACAAACTTTGTATAACAGTTTTCAAAAATCCCATAATTTTCCAAGTTCTTCACTGTCAGCTAAAAATATGAAATACAAAAGGAAGGACACAAAAGAAGAAGTAACACAGGACATAAAAAAGGAAGGAAGGGAAGACAGTAGGAAGAGAAGAAAGGACAAATGAAAGATTATTGCACATTCAGATAGGATACAGAATGAAGAAAAATGAGAATAAAATACAAATTTGTGATTACAATGTAGCAAACTGGAACAAGTTACAATTGAGAAAATGCAAAACACTTAGAGGATACTAGGATCCAGTGGCACCTACAGTACATTACGGAATCATTTTTTAAGCAGATTTTGTTACAATTAACCCACTCAAAATGAAATAATAATCCATCAAGAATTCACTAATACTTTCTAAATCAGTTCCACACATTTATAAAGACGAGTCACACGCTACGTTTCACCTTTATGCTCATGTCTACAGACTCTCCCAGGCTGTCCACAGAGTCTCTGTAGGTCTGGATGTAGCCAACGCTCAGAGCCGTCATCTGAAGAAACAACGAGTTGGACAACAATAAAGAGATTCTGTGCAACAGGAGGAGAACAAAGCTGAATGGATCTGAGCGCCGTTTCTAGAAATGATCCAAGAACCATTCAGTGTGACACTCAAACTAAAACGGCAGCAAGTGAACTTGGCCATGCAAGCGTAGCACCAGCTCACGTTCTGGATGGTTCCGTTGAGGCTCTTCATCATCATCTCCACGCTGTGGGCCACCTCCTGGGTGTGTCTCTGGAGGTCCAACAGAACTGTGGGGTCGATTGGCGGGATGTCCGCTGGTCTCCGCGACAAGCCTCGGCTTCGGTAGATTGGACCCGAACAGTCAGCTGCAGGTAAAGCGTCATGAAATTAGACAAACGCAACAATACACATTCTCTTGGTTGAATGAGAATAAAAACCAAATTGATAGCGCTACCACGAGGATTATATTTGTAGAAGAACAGCACGTCAAAACATGTAAGAATTCAGAAGTCGTCGGAGGTCAGGACGTAAAAAATGAATGAATAAAAAGAGACAGCTTCTGTCATCCCAGCAACAGCAGGACTTTAATAGTAAATCCTTCTAGTCTAAACAAAGTGAGTCATCCATCTTAATTGAATCAGCAGGTAGAGGGAATGAGCTGCCACACAGGGCATATTGACTGTGTCGCTGCGCCTAAATTAAATGGCTGCTTTAGCCGTCACTCTCATCCGGGAGGAGTCTGAGAGCGAAGAGCGGCGTCTCGGCGTGTTCCTCCGTGAAATTTAAACATGTCAGGCTTCTGCTAATGGACCATCTACATTAGGCCAGGCTGAAAAACTTCAAAGGAGTGATTTATTCCTGGGATTAGGTTTACACGTGTCGCCTCAAAGCTCTACAGCAGGCCAAATGCCGACAGTCATCCACTGACATCATCCATCGCAACGCCTGGCAAAAGTATTCACACCTTGAGACATTTTAAATTAAACTTGTTTAACTGAGATTATGTGCGACAGACCAACATACATGATTAGATAATTGCAAAATAGACCGTACTTTCTACATATCGTCTTACATTTAAAAAAAAAATCTATATAGGGATGCAACAAACAATTATTTTGGTTATCGATTAATCAATTTTGCTGATGCCACACAGCTATAAAAGGAAAGTGGAAGGAAAATGACATTCAGTTCTCAACTTGTATACAATTAAGTGAGCTGTGCAAGTTGTCTTTAGCCCCCTTTACTCTGATTCCCTAAAATACAACCTTATCAGCTTCCTTTTGATGTCATCCAATGAGTAAATAGGGTCCACCTTTGTGGAGTTTAATCTCAGGATAAAAATAACTTCGTATGTTTCGTAGAACCTTGTTAACATAGATTCAACCTGGATGTTTCTCGGGGCGTCGTCTATAAAATGGTTTTGTGAAATTCTGTTTCTTAGCTCTTAAATGAAACAAGAGAAATTGAGTTTTTAGAATTTAACGCACAATCACTGCAGTCCAGGCTGGGCTTGGAGCTCATTTTGATCTTCTGCTCCAGGTTCTTTGTGATGAAGTTGGTGAGGTCTCCTTCGTGGCTGACTGTCCCCTCCAGCTCCAGAGCTGAGGAGATGGTGGCCCTTCGGCCCTCTGACTGCCCGCTTCTGCCACCTCCTCTGGCTCCTGGACCACCTCGGGGGGAAAAAAAGCAAAACAGCATGAAAAATTACAGAAAGCACCAGAAACTACATCCAATCCAAATTGTGACAGAAACGTACCTCCGCAGGCTTGGCTGATTTCATCCAGGCTCTTGCTGTCCTGCATCCCCCGGTTGTTCCGAACCCAAACCTGGGCCATGACGTGGGGAGGGCACGGGGCATCGTCTGAGGTGAGAAGAGCAGGTTGAGGAGTAGAAGAAGAGGTGCTGGGACCGGGGGCTGAGGAGGAGTAGTGTTGCGAGGGCTGCAGAAACAGTTAGGAACAGATAAATGGTGATAACTTGCCAAAAAATGATAAAAACTGGATTCTGAGACCAATCTGCGATCATGAAGTAAACCTAAACTCCTATTGGCTCAGCTACATTGTTTTTGTCCTTAGTCCGACTCACCACTTACCTCTTTCTTTGTTCTTCCTCCAGTGTTCCTCCACCTGTTCTCGTTCTTCTCATCTGTCTCCACATCTTGCTTCTCTTTCTCTCCGTCCTCATCGTCCTCTCTTCTATCCAGCCTTCTCTCTTCACTCTCAGCTTCTGTCAGGGGTCTTTCTGCAATGTCAGGGCCTCCCTGCTGACATACGTCTGTGGGCTCTGCATGCGGTGCTGAATCCCACATGAGAACCAGGTCCTCGGCCTTCGATCCCTCAGGAATGTCTGTGTCTTTGGATTCGGAGTTTCTTGTTTCTGCGTCATCATGGAAAGAGAGGTCTACCACCTGGGAACCGTGTAATGATAAACTAGATGTTCTCTCGTGAAGATTTGTCTCAGTGTCTACGTTGCTTTCTGCAGCGTTCAGTCTGTTTGCTGTGTCAACGTGGTTCTCTGTTCTCCCGTCCATCGACTTCGCTCCCTTGTCGGGTAACCTGCTCCCGCCATGTTTTACCGAGACCGGCGCATGAGGGCCGTTCTCCAGAGAAACGGGCGTCGCCACCCCATTAGCTGCTTCTGGCACTTCTGTGCCAATAACAGTGGAGAGACTCATCCCTCCCTCTGCTGGTGGACACAAGAAAGAAGGTGTTAAAATCCTTTATAGAGTACGACTCTGCTTCTTAAAAAGCAATCAAGAGAATTTAATGTTCTAATATTACTCTATCAACTGTATGAACAGCTGTTCAGCTAACAAAACACATTAATTGTATTGAATGAACATTTATTTTTACTTGCATTTTTTGTAACTGCCATAAACAGGACAAACAGGACATGAGCTTACAGAAATATAGTCTGATAGTAGAAAAGCAACTTGTTTCAGTAATTATAGTTTTCAATTACTGAACAATATATAAAGCCTTCATAGAATATTGATAGGGAAAATTTCTTAGTTGATGTGTGAAAGTCTGAAGTTTGTTTCCATTAGCTCCATGACAGAACGTCCATTTGGATAAATTGTGAGAAAACAAATTAGCAAATTAGAAAAAACTATTTTCTATTTTCTAATTTTTTCAGCACAAAAAATATTCTGTATCAGTTTAGTATCCCAGAACCACGTCAGGCTAAATCGTACTGCAACCAGCACTGCTTCAGAATGAACTTTATAAATTAGTGGGTAACAAGCTTGAAGATGGAGCCAGAAAAAATATTTTTTGGACGAATACTTCCTCTTACAGCGACAAGGAAGTGAAAAAGTGCATGCACAGGATGTTCTGATAACGATGACAAATAGCTTATGTGGTTTATTATTAGGAGCAACGTGGGGTTTCCTGACAACAAAATGAGGTTAAGTGGCTCCTAATCACCTTCTGATCCTGCTATTCTTGGATACAATAAGTGCTCCATCAAAAATATTTTTGAAAACTCAAATTTTGATCATTTTAAAAATGACAAGTAGTTGAAGAAATCCCAAAGGAGCATTTCAGTTTCCACAGCTGCGTGCAGGAACCATGTGATCTTGCTCCTTGAAAGGAAGTAAACATGCAAAGTCAGTAAAAAAAATCTACTCGTCAGGATTTTGACAGAGATGGTTGTTTACCTGCATTTAATGCTGCAGTTCATGATCAGATGACCCACTCTTTAACTCATAGTCCCTAAACATGTGTTAAATCCAGACAATAACCAAAACTGCAGACTCCATTTAATACACTGACATATTAAAGCTAAAATGCCTGGTGCTCATTAAACTAACTTGGTGTTATTAATTGTATTTGTTTTACCAAACTACGAAGCTTAAGGCTTAAGGACTTGCCATGACACAAAGTGAGACATAAAAGGACCAAGTCTGCCGTCCGTCATCGGTGAGGAAGTAGCTGCGCTGCTGTTTTGATGCGGCTAGCATTAGCTGCTAGGGCCTCCGACTTACAAACCTCAGCAAACCCCATTTGATTCAACTGACACGGCAACAAAGCGGGATTTATTTTAGGCTAATCTTCAGACTAGTTTCGATTATGCATCAGATAGCGACGCCACAGGCCCAAATGTGTCGAAAGAAACACTCACCAGAGCAGTTTCTATCCTGGAAGATGTATGCAACAGCCGAGTCCGATCAATATATTGTTCCCAACAACTCCCCAAAGAATCGTTCCGCTTCGCGGGGATCAAATAAAAATGTAAACTATTACCTTTTAAACATTGCCATGAGAATAATATCTCAGAAAATAAATTATTCATATGTTTAGAGTTAAGTTTAACAATAATTAAATTCGTTTGATTTTCTACAAAGCCATCCAATGAGTCTGCAATATGTAATCAACCTTAAATCAAATGCTAATATCAGATTCACAACACATTGTAATTTTATTTTAACAATGTGTGCCACTAATTTTACAAATATCCGTTTTTTGTGTGTTATTTATTTCTGTGTGAAAAACGTATGTTGTATTTACCACAATTTTCCCAACAGAGGGAGACAAACACCAGGGGCCCCTCTGGCTGCTGGCTCTGTTGTGGTGCCACATGAGAAAAAGGAGAACTGAGATCTCCAGTGTTCTGTTGCTGGTTCTGTACGTTTGTTCTATGAATTGATGAATATAAATTTATATTTTTAAAAATATAAACTTCCAATTTATAGCAAGATCATGTAGGTGAAAAATGAAATAGTTGTTGTCATACAGTATATACACTAAATTTGCACGGGATGAAAAGGTACTTGGTATAAGGAGCTTAAAGCAAAAAGCAAGAAGACTATTAAACTTAATATCCTCTGAAAATGCGCCTTTTCTTTGCTGGACGTATTGAACGAAGGTCCACCACAGCTACATTCCTACTTCAGTGAATTCAAAACTAGTTAGTTTTTTTTTTTCTTTGTCTCTACAATCCTATATTATCAGGATTTTGGTGTTTGCTTTTCACAATTCTTTCCAATCAGAAAAGTAGATAAATATTTGGCACAAAGTCAGGTGTAAATCATTTAAGAACCATCAAAATGTGAAACTATATCTCCTTTGTAAACACCTATGGAAAGTTGAATGATGCTATTTTTTTTTTCCTCTCAGCATCCACTCTGTTAGCAGTGTTTGCTCTCTGACCTGAATCCAGCTGAATGTTTATTACCTGGGACTAAGAAGTTTGATCACCAAACTCTACCTTATCATCTTTCCACTTGCTTCTGATTCACTGGACTTAAAAGTCTGATAACTAACTTTTTGACTTTTAAATAATTTCGACTCAGACTTAACCGGACAGTGACCACCACACTTTCTCATTTTCTTGAACGTTCGAATATCTAAAATTTAAAAAATAACGTTAAGAGTTTGTCAGAGCTCCATTAAAAGCTTTTATAGTTTATCACTTCATATATTCCCTCCACAAATTTCACAACTTTTACATTTTTCACGAGACTTTTTACCAGTGTTCATTCTTTCTTCAACAACCAGAAGCTCATAAATCAAAATGTCCAAACTTTTAACAGATTATGCTCAAATCATGTCCACCCGATGTGATAAGTCCTATTTCATTCTTCACCAGAAAAATACATTTTCATAACATTTTACAGAAGGTTGTTTGTTTGTTTTTTTCATTGAGATTGTTTTTTGTGTGTGTCTTTTTACAGAAGCAACAGTAACATTTGTCCAAATATGTTAGACAAACATGCTGTTGTAAGCAGTCCTAATTCCTTCAGACGACTGCAACCCACTCACATTTAAACAGGTACCATATGTACAAAAAGTGCGTCTTGGTGAAATGTGTATGTTTGAGTTTGTCTCACACACCCGGTATTTCTGCTTTCGCATCATCATTTTGGGAATGAGTCAATAACTTATTTCAATTGACAGTGAAATAACCTGCCAGGAGGCTTGAAATAATGAGAAGATATTGGTTTGAACTGTGTGCCTCCACAGTGGAAATAATGCCAGTGTCTTGTGGCTTTTTTAAAAAAAAAAAGCTTTGAATGGCAAATCCATGCAGAAGAGGAGAGAGGACTGAAAAGGCCCACAGTGCAGCCACATCTAAAGACCTTGTAAAATAACTAATCTACCTCATCCATCCAGGCCAGCTGTGCCCTCAGTGGGGATTCAGCAGTTTTATCCCATTTGCTGCTTCTCCATCTGCAGCACACATCAAAGCTTAAGAAATCTACCTAAAGACACACAAGTTTAAGAAATAAGCTTTTGTTCCTTACAGAGCGCTCCTTTACTTAATCTTTTTCCCCTTTTGGGATTTGATAGTAGAAAAGAAGCAATTTTAACAGATTTTTCTGTTTCCCACATGAGAAGACGAGGATGTATACGAAGCAAATTGAGAGCATGTGGCTTCATACAGATGTGGCTTTTCATTATAGAAGTTGGAGACTGCACGTTTTACGTCGGTGGCCAAAATGACAGTAAACGACTGTAAATCAGCAAGCCACTAATCCTGCCTGTTAATTCTCTCCAAACCCGAAGGCAAGGCTTCCCATGACCTGAACTCGATGTGCTGCTTCAATTAAACAAATGTGGCAAATGACGCCCGCTCAGCACCGCACCGGAACGTCTCAGACAGCAAAATCCGACGCTGCAAAAGTCGGTTTTCATCGTTCGCCGACTCAACGTGAACGCCAGCGATCACACGTCTCGAAAGACGCTCAGGTATTCATGAAAACGCATTTGAGTTTTCATGCTCCCCGAACCGAGGATTCAACATTTTTATGTTGGTCTCGGAAAAATTGTTTTTGGATTCATGTTTAAAAGGATGTCGTGGTTTGTGTTCAGAGAAACATAAAAAAAAAAAAAAAATACATCCAGTGGTTTTACAGAGGAAGGGGGATAATTTAAAGTTTGCGGAAAGGCGATCGGTTTCCAAAGGCCTTGATATAATCGCCAATGGAGCTACGGTTGGAAAGACCTTACTGTAGAAATCATTTTGGCCAGCAAGCAATAAAATTCAGTTTTAAACATTTAAGCAGATTTTGTTCAGCCTCAGAACTTCACTGCTAGTGGTTCTGTGGTGACGTGAGCAATCTCTTATAAGACCTAAAGGGAACTTTTATTGGCTGAATTGTGTGAAAAACTCTCTGTGGTTGTCCGGGCACAAGGAAATATAATAATAAAAAGGCAACATATAGCTAATGCCAAAACATTTCTACAGCGCTGTGACTTCCTTTGGCATGTTTCCCAGACACTTATTTTGTTTTTATTGAGTTCTTCTTTACAGAGTCCTCTCAAATTGCCAGAAAATGTAAAGTCACTGTAAGCTACCAGTGGATTTACTGCTTGGCTGATTCTAGTGCCAAGTATCTCATGAAGACCATTTTGATTTTCTTACTTTCTGCTTTGAGACAAATTGTAAGCACATATAGTGGTTTTCAACTCATTGGAAAAGTCTTGAGTCATCCTTTCATGTAATTACATTTTGTTGAAAAGTAGGCTTTCTTTGTGGCTTCTTTTTCTCACATTTGCAGTCCAGTATGTGCTACTTTTTTGAATTTTTCTTATTTTGATACATCCATAAGGCTGTTATGTAAATGGACTGAACTTATATACTGTTTCTTCAATCATTTCGACCACTCAAAATGCTCTTTACTGAAGTCAGATTCACCCATTCGCACTTAAAAACACACATTAATACACCGATACTCAGATTTGCATCCAATTTGGGGTTCAGTGCCTTCGCCAGGGGCACATCGACATGTCATAGGAGGAAGGTGGAATCGAACCTACAACCTTCAGACCACAAGACGACTTCTCTGATTTTACAGGGTATCATGGTGTGAATGTCATAGCATCAAGCTGACAGTATTTTGTGCTTCTGTGTTAATGTTGTGCTAAAATTCTCAAAAGCGGCAATAAATCTCTAAAACTTTAGCTTTACCAGTAAAAAAACAGGAAACCACTCTTAAATCATGGCATCAGATAACGAGAAGTGACTAATATCAGGATAGTTCTTTTACCAATTAGGAGCTGTGCTAGCTTTCATTTAAAGTGTCACAGTTGCAGTTTTTTTTTCTTTTTTTTGCACTCTGTTCACTAAATGTCAAAACTGTCAGATGAAACATGTTGGCAACAACAAGAACAGAAAATCAGTTTCATCAGTTAACTAATGAAAAGATGATGCAGCAGCTTGTCCTCAATGTCATAGTCATAAAATAATGAATGAACTATAGTTGACCCAGTTTTTGCCAACAGAAACCATAAGAAGAATACTCTGGATATCTGCAATGAATGGAACGTATCATCTGCACACTTGATTGCTCAGCAATCTATTTGCTAAACACTGCGTGATAAAATACTGACGTGGTCAGTCCGGTGGTTTGGAAAGATAGGGGTTTGGTGTTGAGCGGTATGTTACAGTTTGGGAATAAACACAGTGATGTACAGAGAGATTGCAAAATAGCATGACCGGAAAGGAATGAATCCCACACTGGTGTATCCAAGCAGAACTTTGAGCTTGGAAATGTGTGCAAAACATGCTTCATATGGGGGCAAAAACTGCAAAGGGAGCTGAATTATTTCACCATCGGTTCAGTGAAGTAATCTTTCTTTATTAACTCGTGTTTATCCCACCAAACATGAGTTTGACGGAAAAGAAAAAAAAAAGAAATGGCAGCGTTTGCTATTCGAATGGGTTTTGTGGTGGTTTAATAATGTTGAATGTTACATCCACTCCATCAAATTTGAAGTTCAGACATATTAACTAAACCACAAAAACACAAACATCCTCCTAAGAGCAGATCTTTCTACAATGCCTGGCGAACGTTTTTATGAGCTTATTTTTTTGTTTTATTTTTTACATGTAGTCACATTACAACCACAAACTTCAATTTATTTTATTAGGGACCGTATGTGGAAAACAAACACAAGGTAGTGAATGGCTGGGAAAATGAAGCATGATAAATTTCCACAAAGAAATCCTGAAAACTGTTGGGTGCATTTACAATTAATTTACTTCGTTGGACCGCAAAAATAGTTGCGAGTCAAATGAGATAGAGAGCTTCTGTAAAAAAAACTTCTTTTTATAACTACTGTATTATGCTTTAATGTGTTCAGGTTGGTATTCAATGTTCCTCCACATGCAGCATATTGCAACTTCAGTGTTGTGATCAGGGCATCTTCTTCCACATGTTTGCTGCTGTTTCTCCA